TCTGCAGAATCTGTTAGTTCAATCTCTAATGTTAGGAAAGTAAATAAAAATATAGCATAGATGAAAAACATCCAAAAATAAGAATAAAAATTTTATAATTAATTGCAGAGTCTGATGGGTACTGTTGCGATGTTTCATCTCTGATGGATTCGTTAGGAACTTTATTATTATTATTCACTGGATAAAGTTAGAACACTACTCTTCTGGAGTATGACCTACTATTGTGAGCATAGTATCCCCTTAAAACCTGATCAGGGCCTCACTCAGTGGTTTCAGAACACCAGATACAGATAAACTTACACAGATTTTATAAAGAGAACAAAAATTACATCCAGTCTACCTTTGGAATATATGAAACCTCCTTAAACCTACTAACTGGTTGTTTCTCTCTCATGTTTGCAATGAAAACTTACTTTTATCACTGAGCAGAAACTTTATCCAGCTATTGATGTAGTATTTCCAACCAGCTCCAAAGGAAGCTTTTGCTAATTAACTCTGTAATGGATGAACTTAAAGCCACAATCTGATGGTCAGATATTCTCCTTCAAGATTTTCCTGGTGAAAAGTTTTATTAATTGTTGATCAAATAGAACAAGCCTCTCAGGTCCTGAAAAAAGCTAAACAGGCCCAGAACATCACACTACCGCTAAGTGTTACTGTTGTTTGGACATTAATTTTCCAAACTGCTGTATTAGTTTTAGGCCACATGTGATGTTAAATTGGAAAAAAAATGTTCTACATTAAGATACAATTTACTTGTTGTATTTTGAAATCTACTAGACCACTTTATAATGTCAGCTGGTTCCTGCTGAAGTGATTTCTGAATGCTATTAAACAGGCCTGGGTTCGGCTGCAGAGAATGAACTCAGCCTTCAATGTTCATCTCTTTCAGAATTTACCCATGGAGGAAATTAGCTATTAAGATGGGGTCAGAATGTTCAATAAGCTTTTGTGTGGTTATGAAATAAAATACTATTATTTAGCTTCCAGTTTAATAAAAAAAAAACAAAAACACATCAATAAAATCTGTTATTAGTTATTTTTTTTGACAGTATTGTATGTTCTCTAAATGTTAGGGATATATTTCAAACGAATTACTGTATTTATTTTGAATTAATGAAACATTTTCTCTTATATTATTCAATTAATTTAAACCAAATTATCTCTATATAACCGGTTAAACCTGAAACTCATAACTCATTCTTTTGCTTTAAGAAACTTCAGGATCATACCTTTTGCTCTTTCGGATAAAAACAGAAGATCCTAACGAAGCTAAAGCAGGTCAGTAATTTAATATTGTATAGAAATTATTGTAAAATATGCAGCCATAGTTATATTACAGTTTTTTCATTACTGACATTTTTTAATTTTGGTACATTTCTTAAATCAGCCTCGACATTTGAAAAACAGTCGGTGCACTTTGCAAATTAATAATACAAATAGCAAAACTCCAGGGAAGTATTCTTTCAGAATCCTTTGTTCATCTCTCAAAAGTCACCTGTTATTGAATATATCATTACCATTAGAATGATAAGTCATCGACATTATATATTGGTTAAGATGGTGAAAGTGCCTTTAGCTTTTTCTGGAGGGATGTTATGACTAGAGATCTTATGACTTTTATTGTTAAGTGTTATACTTTAGTGTGTGCGGATGATTAGTGGAAAGCGACTGGATGTTTTTTTTCTCATGACGCTGGAGTAGTTTTAAATTTACTCTTCTACTGTTTTTACAGTAACATGCTGACAGACCATGTTTTTGTGATAAATAAAGGAAAAGACAGTGCTGCATATAGGGTGGTTCTGGATCTGTATGGGCCAGTGGATATACAATTGCCTCTAGCTCCTGTTATGGCTCCTGTGCTAAAGATATAATTTAGTATCTAAAATTATTATTAAAAAAAAGATAAAATTTAGTTTCTAATGATTTGCAAGATGTTACTAAACTAAATACCAACCTTATTTTTTCCCTTTACTATTTTACCTTAATTTCAATTACCAATAATTTGAAAATGAAGGAGTCAGTTTTTGCTTCTGCCATCAATAAAGGTGATCACATTACTCATCTGCTGGATCAGAGGTTGACAACCTCCAACTCCAAAGCTGCATGTGGCTCTATGGCACACTTCAAATCCGTATAATGAAGGATCCAATACAAACCTTCTATCTGTTACTTTTTAACAACACATTATGTCCCTTGAATGACCTAATGTCGATAATTTAAATCTAATCATTTCTGCTATTTCACTTTTCTTTTTAAATAATATTTATATTTCATATATATAACTGTTTTTCCTACTTTATAAATCTTCAGGATCAAACCTGTTTTTTCTTAGAAAAAAATAAAGATATTATGAAGAAACTAAAACAGGTGGGGAAATTATTCTTGCACAGTAATTATTATGAAATATACAGTCATTACTATATAGAAATAGAATAGATAGAAACTGTTTTAATTAATATCATACAAGATAGGTCAACAGTTCATGTTGTGTAAAATTTTGGTTACGATGTCTTTAAGAATATATTTTGGCAGGTTATACAAGTTATATTTACATCTGAAACAGCTGAACTGTTTTGTTCATTGTTCTCACATTTTCAGACTATAAATAAAATACTGAACCAAATGTTTGAACACTATAAACTGAACACTCTATTTCCTTTGTTATAACAGGGTGGTATTCTGCTCTATTGTATTTCATTTTATTTTTAGATATGCTCTTGTGAACCTCAAAGGAGATTAATTTTATCTTCTTAGTTATACTTTTATAAGAAAACCCTAGCCTTCGACCAATTATAGAGATAGCTGAAAAGTCTTGTTTAAACGGCATAGAAATATAACTGCTATTGTTGTCTGATAATGTTTTTCTTCATAGTTTTTTAAAATAATATATAATGAAGTATGATGAGAGGAAGCCAAAATGTATCTGTATTTTCTCCCATCAGAGGAGGAAGAAACCATAGAGAGCATCATTCCATGTATCTCAGAGGAAGAAGCTGTCTGATCACTGAAGTTATGAGGCCGACTTTGTGAAACTGGCATAAAATAAATGACAGGGATTATGGTCAGAAAAATAAAATAAAATTAGTCTGCTGATATCAGCTCAATTTTGGACTGTCTAACTATTCATGTTCTTTAAAAATATGTTAATGATGTTTAGTGATGGTTAATTTCTATTTTGAACACACAATTTGCAGTCTGATAAAAATTACTGCACAGTTCTTGATATGTAAGGATTTCATAATAGCCAATTAGTAGCTGTTTTTTCTAAATGCGATTCAGTCAAAATCTTCTATTTTGTATTAAGTAAAGTTTAAGTACTTCTGACAAGAACTTACTTGGTTTTAAATAAGTATAATAAGTTAAAGACACGGTGAAACAATTGTTGGGTTACCAGTAACTTCTAGCAGGTATCTTTTTTTTTACCATATTGTCTTGATCTTCAAGCTGACAAAGAACCCAATTTTTGTTTGTGAATATAAGTCATTATAATTGGTTGTGTTCTGTGCAAAGCAAAATACACTGTGCGTCTGTTAATGTGTGTACATAAAAAACACTGGATATTTTTATTTTGTAACTGTTTAATTTTTATGATGTATGTACTCCGCCTCTGTACCGTAGACAGCTGGAGATAGGCACCAGCAACCCTCATGACCCTCCTTGGGATAAGCATGACGGAAAATGGATAGTTTAGTTAGATGGATGGATAGTTTTATGATAACCAATCAAGATTTCCCCCATGGGTTTAAATCCTCTTAAACTTGACATAGCAGATAGACTGGTCTTTGTAGAAAACATCTGGATTAACAGCTGCCATTATCCCCATCCATTGTCTCTTTGATTTAAAAAAGAAAAAAAAATTGTGTTGTAGAATGATATTCCAAAATCTATGCAAAGGACACTCAGAAGTTAATAGTAATTGTGTGATTCTTGTGTGATCCCAGAAGAGATGGACAGAATGGAGATGATCTGTTCAGTGGCAGGTTTCCTCTGAGAAACCCACAGTTTCATTTAAATCAATTATATTTTTAAGCCAAACATAACAGCTGCGTGTGCTCACTTCAAAAATCTCTTGGTGCTTTTAGAGGTTGAAGGATTCCCACTTTGGTGCTGTAAATCCTGTTCTTATAAATAATGCCACTGTAAAATATATTTGTAAAATAATGTAAATAGCTCAGGAATGGATCCCATAATAAAGTTGGGTTGCTTTCTGTGGCAGAACAGTTTCATGCTTCTCCTCTAGTAAACTAAATGTTTAATAAAAATGCAAACTTTTTGGTGTGATGAATGAATAGAGTTTTTAAACAGTGTGAAAAACTTTTTTCTGCTAAGGTTTAAATATGTTACTTACCTTAGAAGCTTGGAATTATATATTATGTATTTTGTAATTATGTCTTCTCCATCAGAGTGCTAAGATTTATAGCATACAATTAAATATCTTTTTTGCACACCACTCTTTAATCTAGGATTCATACTTCATATGTAAAAACAGATAAATGATTATTTCATGCCAACCTGCATTTAAATTGCATTTAAATATTTGTTCATTTGGGAAGTTTTGTTTTCAGAGAAACAACATGCTCAGTTATTTAGTGGTTTTTAAAGGACTTGTGCAATTGCTTAATTCAAGGTAAAGAAAAGTAAGCGATATCAGCTGTGCTGAGGTTGATAAACCACCTGTATGGAATACCAACTGTGGGCCCTTACATAATGCAGCCTATATTAGACTTAGATTTATTTTGTCATATTGTATACACGAGTGTAAACAAAAAGAAATTTTGTTTAAAACAGCTATAGACAATTTCTTTTTAAAGTTCAGCCTTGAAAACAGTAATAAATACATAAAAAAATTGTAATATAAACATATGACTGTATACTTACAGTTCTAACCTTCATTTTTTTGGAAATAAAATAACCCATTCTACATAGCTCCTATTAAGACATAGCCTATATTGTTGTTTAAGGGGATTTCCACACAAAAATAAGTTAAAGCGTGTGTTTTAATTAGAAAAGGTGTTTATAAATAACACAGCCTCTTCATTTTCTGAAGAAAAATGCTTTCCATTTTTTTTCAAACAATACATTTTGAATGTTCAATGCTTTATCATAATATTTAGATATAATTTCCATTAAAATAAAAATGTATGTCTTCATACATACACAAATGCAGAATAAACATTCAGGACAGGTTTATTTTCTCACATAATGTTGTAAAAATATTCAAGTTAATTCATTTCTTAATCACATATCTGTCTCAATTTCTTTAAGATGTTTTTCTATTTCCACTACATGATTCTCTATTTCCTGTTTTCTCTCCTTCAGTTTTTTAACCTCCTGACTTGTTCTTTCAGTCAGTTTTTCTGTTATCAGTTTCATATGTAGATTATCTGCCTTACTCTCAGTCAGTCTCTTATTGCTCTCTGTTATGATCTCTTTGAGTATAAAGTATCCTTTTGCTCTCTTTTCCATCCTGTTCTCTCTCGTGTTTGTTACTTCATCCTCAACAGCCCTAGACCTCCTGTCATTCTCCTCAAATATTTTCCATGCCTCCAGTCTCTGATCACTCAATCTTTCTTTCAGTTCCTTCAGGTCCGCTGACATCTTCATTAATGCTTCAATCTGCTGATCAATGCTTCTCTGATCCTGGTTTCCCTTTCTTAACTTCTCCACAAGGTCTGACTTTTTCTTAAACACATAGTCTTTTTCTTCTGTCATGAGGTACTGTTTCTCCCAATTCACTTCATCTTTTAGCCTCTTTTTCACTGCAGGAACAAAAATAACATCAGATTAAAGTTTAGATTTTGTATGTAAAGGTAAATAAAAAAGAATAAAATTATTCACTCCTGCCTTAATTTTCCAAAATATTTAAAAATCAATTCAACTTACAGATTTTAGTTTGTCGCCATTTCCGGATTAAAATAATAAATAGCAGAAAAAGACTGAGACCCAAAACAGCATTTAAAGAAAGAGGAAGAGGCATAATGCAGGGGAACCGGACTCCAAAGACATCATCTGAAAACCAGATAGGGAGAAAACTTTAATGGACAATGACTGCATATTTTTATGAAATGCAATCATATACTGTATGTTTACCTTGAATATAAATGTGTTTCTCTCTGGTCTGGTTGATGTCTTTCTGTTGGACTCTACAGGTGATATTGTTGTTGTGTCTCTTTTCCACAGTCACTCTGCTGCTGACACTATAAAGGCCATCAGGACCTTTAGTTTTCTCTGTAGATCCAACGGACATGATGTTTCCCTCCCCATCCAGCCATATAATCTCAGGTTCTGGATACCAGCCTGCAGAGCTGCAGTCTAACATCACTCCAAGGCTGCTGTTATCCAGTCCTGCTAAACTGATTCTGGGTGAAGAGACTGAACCTGGAATACAGGGAATAGGGATGAAGACTCTTTCGAGATTTTTCATTTAAAAAGTGACAACTATCATGTTTTATTTTCCTTAGCCAAATACCCTGATGTAAAGTTTAAATTTGAATATGCTCATAATTTCAACAGCAAATCATACAGACATGTAACTTAATACGTAGACATTAAACATCTAGAAAGGTGTAGATATAAGAGCAGCTGTTCATTAATCATCAGCACCATCATCAGTGGATCCTAATTACTGGTTGTTGTTGTTTTCTTTATTTGGCATAAAATAAATATCAATCATTTCTCAGGAACTAGAAGAAAAGGACACATGATGGTTAAAGCTGATAACCCAGAAATTGTATCTCTAGCATGAATGAGAACAAAGTTCTTAAGTCCACTGCAGTGTAATCAGATAAGGTCCAATAAAAAAAACAATAAAAAAATGAGAGAATTTTATGTCTGGAAAATGTGTGTGCCAAGTGTGCTCTGGGTCAGTGTTTCTCAACCCGTTTGAGTCGTGACCCCCAATATTAACATTCACTGCTGTCCATAACCCCACTACCCCCAGTGCCTGATCAATATAAATATATGCTGCGTTTATGTAAACAGACAGCTATTAGTTCCTGTATCATTTTATTCTGAAAAAACACTGGGACAGCGTCAAGAGGCTAACTTTTCAAACAGACTGACAGTGGTCGCAACATTCAAATTATTTTGCTGTTAAGATGTAAACAAATACAGAAAACTTTTAATTATTTAAAATGAAACAATATCAGTATGTGCTAAAATTTTAAATGGTAAATGCTCTTACTTGACCAAAGAGCTTTACATTATGTTCAGTTATTCACCCACACACGTTTCATAGTGTAAATATTTATATCGTATATTTGCAATATCGTAAATATTTATATTTATAACTCCCTATAAAGTCCTCCCATCGCAGGAACATTTCAGTCCTTCCCCATTCACTTACACAGCCTACTGTTTTAGCTTTCTCTTAAATACTGTGACCTTATCAGAGAGAATAAAACATTTGTGTTTGGTTTTTCAAAACAGCTGACTATATATGCAAGGCTTGCAACCCACTTTAGGTCTGTCAAATAGTTAGCCAGGGGAGAACTACAGATTATTATTATTATTTTATTATCACATTTTCCAACCAAAAGAATTAGTTTGCCAATCATTGTGAGTGGATTGGACCTGCATCCCTACTGGCTTATACCAAACAGCATCTAATCATTCTGGTATCTGGCTGCCTGCTTTTTCAGCTTGTAATAACACACTTCAGGTTAGTCTTTATTTTCCCTACTGCCTTAAGCATTGTTAACCTGCTCTAGTAACTGTAACCAAGGTGTTTTGACTCACATGTTGGAAGTATTCCCAGGGCACAAAGCAACAGTAAAATAATATTCATTGAACAAAAAGTATAATGGATGAATGAGGTGGGCCAATGGGGAAGCAGCAGGGGAAATAACCGGGAGAACACTGTAGATGCACTGCAGTTTTTTAATCTAAGCTAACTGCTGTACAGCCTTGTGTTTCCAAAGCCAGCTGAATAGAGTGGACGACAAAGACAAGAACCTGCAGAGAGTTTTGCATTTATTGCTACTCAGCGTAAATGCCATCAGGGGGGAACGCGATGTGAAGTTTTTTAACAGGGCATTCAGATCTGGTGAAATTAATAACTGGGGATTTCTAATTCTGAAATCCTGTGTGTTTGGGTTGTTATAGATACTGCAACGTCTATCTATCCATCTATCTATCTGGATGTATACTCTGTGTGTGACATAAAATACGGATCTCTATCCCTGCCACAAAGGCCATCAAATAATGTTTAAAATAAAAAATACAGTAGGTTGAAAAGGCAGAGTATCCATCCATCCATCCATCCATCCATCCATCCATCCATCCATCCATCCATCCATCCATCCATCCATCCATCCATCCATCCATCCATCCATCCATCCATCCATCCATCCATCCATCCATCCATCCATCCATCCATCCATCCATCCATCCATCCAGATTTCTCCCTTTCTCCATATAGGCTATCATTTGATCGTTCCCGCTCTCCATAGTTCTCCTGTCGCGCGAGCAAAGGGCGGCTGTTGCGCGCCTTTAGCGAGCATGCGCGTTTCCTGTCGCTTGCGCGGTGGATCGTGCCGCCTGCGCTGTGCGGAGATGCAGGGGAAACCGTATGTGATGGGGAAACGCAGCTCGACGTAACACCAGTATTTCCATCTGGAAAACGCTGTTTTGCTGCTGGAGTCATCCTCACTCTCCATCTCTCTGTGTGTGCTGTACGTTAACACCCACCAGCAGAAACACCCACCTACCCAACTGACAGACGGAATCTCACTATACATCAGCCATTCTCATCCTCTCCTCTCTCATGACAATGTGCGCACGAGTCCTATCATGAAAAAAGGTTCATTGTGCGACCTGAGTAACGCGCAGTAACGGGGTGTCTGCAATGGTAACTGCATTATAGTTACAGCCAAAGTAATTAGTTAGATTACTCGTTACTAAAACAAAGTAACGCCGTTACTTTGAACGCTGTTAGTCCCATCACTGTCCATCACCAACAGCATTGGTGAACAGCACATACAGGTAGTGTTGTCAGTCCGTTTATCCCTAAACACTTGTTTCAGGTTTTCCTACGATAGCGTATCCAAAAAGCGTTAACTACTACAATAAACTGCAATATGTTATCAGTCTGCACATGGACATTGCCACAAGGTAGAGTGGATCGTTGGGTAGCACGGATAGTCAGAACACTGGCTCCACATCTGCCTCTTCTCTCCTTATTATGGCTTGATTCACATGCTGTATGGACTCAAAAGAATAAGCAATGAGATTTAGATACTCTAGTGTCCTTTCAGCTTCATCTTCCATCATACCAAATTTCTTGAATTATTTACGGTTGTGAGGTAGAGCTGGTATTACCTATGTATTCAGCTGCTAACTAGCCAACCAATCAACCTGATGTCACCATTACAAGATGGCAGCGCCCTTGCCGAAAATTATAAATACTACGTTTTTTTTTTTGCTTTATATGCTTACATTTTTCACTTTAGTAATATAATTATTGCTAAATATTTATTAATAGCAAGAGACATTCTTGTAATTTAGGCTAGTTAGGCTTACTGTTTCGTTTGCACTTTAAGGGAGGGCTATATTAGTTACAAAGAAAACAAGCTTCTGAAACATGTTATTTAAGGCTATAATTTTATTGAAAGGAATGGTTCCCTGGAAATAATAACGCCCATCGGAGAAAGAAAATAAGACTTTTTCAAGTAGGAAAGGCCATGGGTGTCTGGGTAAGAGAGTTCGGACAATTCATTTGACGACAATAGGCAACATTTTAAAGAGCAACGGTGACACAGGAAGCTGAAATACTTTGAGGGAAGTTAGCTGCTTGCACTACCATTGTCATAGACGTTATAGCATGGCAGTAAAGAAGGATGTTTACGTTGCTCTACTCGTCTTTGCTCATGTAAACAAAACATAAACATTGATAAATGTTTCATATGAGCTTACTGAATATGATTTAAACAGGCTCTAAATACAAAACAAATAAAAGGAAATTCACATGACTAACAACAGAGCTGATATGGAGTAAAACCTCTCAATAAGTAAGTTTTTTTTTCCGCAAAAAGTTGTAAATTTTGTGAAATAAATACTAAAAGTATCTGACAGTCACTGATCTTGTCAGCCTGTGTTTTGAAAGGGTTGCCAAGCGCTTCAGGAGAAAATAGCCGTAAATGAAGCATTAAATCTGAGTGCAGAAACATTTGATGAAGATGAGGATAAATTTGAGTGAATACTTTCGGAATACAAATATTTGGAGTGAAAGAATAATAAAATCTTGCTCACACATTGGAATTGTTTCCTTCACAGGAAAAGTCCTGCTTTGTTAACATATGCTCCAAACATCTAAAAATGCCTATTAAAGGCATACATGAACTATATTAAATGCTCTTATTGGTTTAAAAAAAGAGTGTTCAAAAACAAATTGTGCAAAACCCGTTCTTGTTCATTCATCCATTACTTTACCTAGAGTTTAAACCATGAAAGTTGGGGGACTAGACGTCCTCTTTTTCCCGGACATGTCCTACTTTTCAGAACTAAAAAAATGTTTGGAGGGAATTTCAAAATCGTCCAGGATTATGGTCAACTACAGTGCAGCACGTAGACGAAACACACCAGCCACTTGAACATGGCCGTCAGCTCCGGGGCTAGTCTCACAACATAACCTGACCCTGTAATGGTAGGCTGGACACCTGCATCCCCATGCTTCCCCCCGCCTGCCTTACCGTTCCCAGCCCCCCTCCTCCGGCTGAAGGCATGGCCCTTTGTGAGGTCTGGTCAAGTCAGCAGCCCAGCAGTCGACACTCCTCACCCCCCCAAACAAAAAGTGTCCTCCTTTTCAAAAACCCACATCTGGTCACCCTACATAAAAGCTAAATTTCGGACTGACCACTTGATGAAAACAACCCATGGCTCCATTTAAACAACTTTAGGCAACTCTGAAAAAACCTTAATAACATTATTGATAATATCAACCAGGATGTCTCAGTGTGTTTTAAAAATCGGGAAAAGCTGCTTGTTTTTCCTCAACACAGTTTATCCTCCAACTTATTCAAATAGAAGGTTTTTTTTTTAAATAATATCATACAAACATTTAGGCCTATGATCATTTAAGAAGACCATTGTCTATTCTTTGTAAACCAGGACTGGGTTGCTTTATCACATTCACAACCAGCAGTCCTCTGATTACCAATTTATATGAAATGATAGATTGCTGATCAAGCTGTGCTAAAAGAGAATAGTTTTATGAGGTTTCTGATATATATTGCATTTACTTACCAATAAAAAGGTCAACAAAATATTGTTCAATCTCTTTTGGATCGTAGCATCTGAATCTACCATTGTCAGAGTGTTTCACACCAGTCAGTCTCAGTGAAACGTCGCCATCTTTCAGTCTCTCGGTAAACAGCGATGTTCTTCCTTTGTAGGCGATGTTTTGGTCATCTTTATATTCACTCCCGTCGAACCACAGATACACAAATCTGGGATTTAGGTCAAGTCTCCCCCACTCCACTGCTAATTCATCAGTGTTCAGGGGAGCCTTCAGGTGACACGGCAACACAACATCCTCACCAGCCATTGCTGTAACCAGCTGAGGCTGACTTTTCTGCAGCGACTGACCTAGTAAATAAAATAAGATATGTTTTATTTTTTAATAAAAGAAATATATTCTTTGTCACAGTTCTAAGATATTTCAACTATACATGTCTAATTTAATTGCTATTAATACATTTTATCCACTCTCCATTTAGTAGCTAATAATTATGAATAATTTTTTTTGCTTTTTGCAATCAGTCAGTCTTTCTGTTGTATTTCCGTTAAAAAAGTTACCTTCGCTTGTGTGGATCAGAAGAAAGAAGCCAAACATGAATTCAGCAATTACAACCTCTTTAAACAGAAGTTTGAAAGATAGCCTTTGCATCATATGGACCATCTTGAAGACAAAAATCTGTGAGAAGAACAGTAAAAAAAAAAAAAAAACAAATGCAGAAAAGTAAAATGTTTATAATGTGTATTTAAAGATAGGGGTCAAAAACATTTCTTGAACATAAAACTGTTTATTTCGTTAACATGTAAAGTGGAAAAAAAAGCTTGTTTATTAGCAATATATTTTGTATAGTACTAACAGTGGTGGCTTTTAACAAAGTAGTTTTACTTCCTACTATGCTTAATCAAGTCACCTTAATGTATAAAGTCCATCTCATATTAGCATAATACATAAATAAAAGCAATACATAAAAGAAGCAAGAACAAAATAACAATCAAATAGAGAGAGACAAGAGAAACTAACACAAATAAAATCCCATAAAATTTAGAAAAAACAAAAATGATAAACAGAAGGGAGAAAAGTTTTCCTGAACAAAACCGCTAACCTAACTAAATACATGAAAAAACTAATAAATCTTAAAGGGATAATTTTATTTTTTTTAAGCAATTGCCTTTCCATGAACTGTAACATCAGATTTGTTTAAGTTTGAAAGTTCAGTTCAGGCAACTGAACACAAGCTTCGCTTTCTCAGTTCTAACTTGTGGTGGGGAGCACTGAGATTAATATACTGTTGGTGTTAGAATAAATTAGGGTAAAACAAAACAGATTTAGACTAATTTACAATTTTTGTAGATTTCCATTATGGGTTTTGAAATACATACATAGATATAAATTTTAAATCTGGAAAATAAAAACAAGAAAGTTACATCAGAGAAAATAAGCCTACCTGTTCAGCTGTATCAGGTCTCCTTTGTTATTTATGAACTGCAAAGGGCGAAGTCTCAGATAAATCGACCATAAAAGCAGAGGTGTGGTTCACACCTACCTCCTTAGTGCAACCAGGAAGAGGACCTCCTCAAATATCAGTGAACTCCACAGTAAAGTAGTTGCTAAGAGATAGATAGAGAATTAAGTGCTTACTGGTTTGCTGAACTACCAATAGTTTGCGTCCAATAATTTAAATAAAAGGTTCTATTTTTGCGGAATATATAAGAATTATGCTCTAATTTGTAATTACTGATCTGTTGTAACCATATTTTGATTTGACAAACTAAATCTTCTCGACTTTCTTTTTCCTGTTTGGTGCGATTGCAATTGCGGATCTTTAACTGGCTGACTTCCAGCTGACTGGTGCTTTGTGACAGCATGTGGGAAAGTGGACATTTAACATGTAGCTCAGTTGAGTTCAATTTATAGAACCGCTGTCCAACTTTTGCACTGTGCAATTGCCATATTTTCCTATGGCATATAAACACTGCTTTATTATGTCATTGAAATATAAGTGTAAAAATACTTCCATCCTTCAAAAACACAAGTAAGTTATTTCTTTGTTTTGTTTTGCTGTAGGTATGACAACATCATTTACAGTCAATTCACATTTAGTAATACTTGTAGTAATATTCTCTATTCTGTATAGTGACTGCACAGCTCCAAATAAGTACACTAATTTGTCATGTGCATGATTTATTAGCTCAGCATTTAATCAGACCCCAACAGAATGCTTACGCCCTCTATCAGTAATGGTCAATGAAAGGTGAAACCTCCATGGAAGTATGCCTTTCAGAACTGACTGGCATCAGCACAAAAACATACAGTGGATAATGCATACCCTTATTCTCAGGAATATCTAGCATGTGAATAAAGAAATGTCCTTCCTGTATACGAGCTTTTATTGTCGTAATACTGGAGCATTACACACATTTGAGTGTTTCTTCCAGAGATTGTGAAGAGCCAATGTACTTAGGACAAACTCTACAGTAATATTGCTGTTTGAACTGATGTGTAACATTGTCAGGGCGCTGCGATCACGTCTGGCCAGCTAAGCCCGGCTTTCTCTCCCTCTCTTCTAAAATGGCTGCTGATGAGAAGGGAGGTGCTGAACACAGGTATTCTGCATGTAGTGGCAGCCCGGACAGCTTGAAAGGGAATTCTGCGCCAGGTTGTTAGCCCTATCTAGTATGAGCTTTATTGGACAGTGTCTCATGCATGGACAAAATTATGATTTCAGAAGTGGGGGGAGGAAAATATTTTTTAATATTACTATATCAGCGTGTTTGACCATCCATTCACAGAGCCGATTTGGTGGTGTATCTAATGTTTGTAAAGTGAGCTTCTTAGGAGTGACAGCAGTGATAGCCAATCGCTAAGAAAAGTCGTTGGGCAGATCAGGAGCTTGTGGGGGGTCAAGCCAAGCTGTTTGTCCCCTGGAAGTCTTAGCACTCTTCTGGGGCAAAACCAGCTGAAATACACCAGCCGCTGTCCCATGATTTGTTCCACCAAACCCTATCCTCCTTCAATCCACCTGCAACTTTCCCGCCATGCAGCCGTCACTCCCGCTTAAAACACCAACAACAACAGCCCGTTGGAGCCGCAGTACCCGCTCACTCTCCCTGGTGGATCATTCTCAGTGAGCCCAGCCTTAATTCCCTCTCTGTTTCACTTAAAGGGGAATGCCGTTTTTTTTTTTTTTTTTTACATCGGGCCCTTGATTTTATGTTATTACATCATGTTCTACTCACCCATAACTAGTGGTTAGGGCATTGCACTTGGAATCCACTGGTTCTGAGTTCATGCTCCACTCCCACTCTGGGTCTCTGAGCAAGCTCCTTACAGCAGACTGCTCCCCAGGCGCCGAACAATGGCAGTCCTCTTCTCTCCAAGGGTTAAATGCAGAGAGTTTATTTTGTTGCTTGTTGCCTTGACAGCGAAATGACAAGAACAGGCTTGAAAAAAAATACTTATGACAATGGAAATGCAAAGAGTTCTACATTTCTGTTTTATTCTGTCAAGATTGGATGCTGAGTGTACATTAATGAGAAATAAAATGACATTTTTTGATTTTAGTATAATGAATTCACTGAATGGCTGCAATGAAAGAGTGAAAAATGTAAAGGTTACTGAGTACTTTTCGTATCCTCTGTATATGTATACAGAAATATATGTAGAAATGTATGTGTGTGTATATATATATATATATATATATATATATATATATCTTTGTTATATATTATTTATATATCATATTTACACATGCACAAAAGCTGTTACATACAGAAAGATGCAAACTTAGATTTCCTTTTTTTTACTCTTTGACTACCAACTTCATATAGCCCCATATGGCTCATACACTGCATATCCTGTTTTGCGGCACAGAATTTTATTATACAACAATACGGGAAATTTACTGGATACTGCTAATACCGGAGGGGCGGAAAGAGGGGTAAAATGCAACAACCAAAACAGGAGACTTGACAGCTATGTTTTATACTATAAAAATAAATTCGAAAACTGATGTAACAACATCAGCATGTAAAATAATGAAAGACCATCAAAGGCAGGGAGGGCAGGTGAAGGGTCATGCCCTAGGACAGAATGGCTGAAACAGACAGGGTGTGGGTCAAAGTTGCTGTTGAAAGAAATCGTTCATTGTGTAAAATAAACACAAAAGACCACAAGTTGAAATTACAATGGTACCTTTATTAGCTACTAATACCACAGTATTATTTCTAATAACTATGCAGACACTAAACATTTCTTAAAATAATTACAAATAAACAAATAAAAGTGGAGGAGGGTTTTAAAAGCCTGTTCAAAAACCTGTGAATGATGTTCGAGTTTAGGGTATAATGCACTGAAAGTGTCCTTTAAAATAGCAGCAGATAAATTTGACTAGATAGTGCAGTTTCATTTGGTTTTATTGAAAGAAAGACTCAGGAATGCATTAAACTGTGATGGGAAAATGGGTTAGATTAGGTCATCCTAGGGGGGTCTGGTCCTGACGGGTACAGCTAAAACAAAGAAACAGTTCACGTCCACAGTGCTGTCTATAGTAAATGGCAAATGGCCTGTACTTATATATTATATACTTATACATTCAGTCATTCACCCATTCACGCACACACTCAGGGTGGCAAGCTACATTGTAGCCACAGCTGCCCTGGGGCTCACTGACAGAAGCGGTGCTGCCGTACACTGGCGCCACCAGGCCCTTGGAACACCATCAGTAGACAATGCAGGTGAAGTGTCTTGCCCAAGGACACCACGACACTGAAAGTCAGAGCTGGGGCTTGAACCATCAATCCTTCGATGTCAGGGCAAACTCCTACATCCGACGCCACTGTCGCCCCCAAGTGTACGGCATGAAGTAGCTGGAGCTAACAATGTTAGCCAGTCTAATGTAGCAGTTTCTTCAGGCCCATGCTGCTCTTACAGTCCTTTTAGTGAGCATTATTATTCTGTTACAATTCTTAAAACCATCAGCAGGTAAATCAGAAAACATATTTCAAATAAAAACAAACACAACTATCTATTCTACTTAGTTCACCCAAGCAGAGCACTTATTAATCATTAGATGGAAAAAGGGAAGGTTGGATGTTACTGTTTTGCCTTCGCCTCGGTTTGGTTCTTCACCTGATCCGATCCTAGTCGAGTCTGTTAGTCCAACAGCGGCTCTCAAAGAGATTTGGAATAATCTGAAGTTGAACAGGAAGTTTTCTGTTTTTAAAACTTCATGGAGGGGTGTGTCTTCAGAGGGGAGTTGTTACATCAGTCACATTTGATACCAACAACTGCAACCAAAAGGTGTCCTCAAGCAAGACACCCGCATTGTCTATTGAATTTTTGTCATGTGGTGCCTGTGTTAGAAACTTTTATTTAAGACCACTGTTTTGCCAGTGAGCCCCAGGGCACCTGTGGCTACAAGGGGGCTTGCCACCCTCAATTTATGAACGTATGATCAATGACTGTATATAGTGTAATGCACTTTGGTCAAGTCTCTGACTTGAAAAAGTGGGATATAAGTACATGCCATTTACCATTGATGGCAAGATCTAAGGGGTTACTTATGGTATGCAGCATATGCTGTCAGTGTAGTAAAACATACTGTACAGTGTTACTTTTTGTCAAAGCAGGACCCTCTCTGTTGTTTCTAGAAATATAAATTCAACCTGCTGCTTTACCAACCCCAGAAATAATCCAGACAGGAAGAGGACGTCCTTAACGACATTTAACCTAGATGTCAGTGTGAAACACTTGACAGTCAGTACTAAGCTTCAGACATGAAGGCTACATGTTTTAGCATTTGTGAGTAGAAATTTTCAAAAGCAGTGACTTTACCTCTGTCAGCATATTGTGATATAAGACGTTTATTTCTTGCTATTGTCTTTGTAGTGGTAAACATGCATATCCTGCTGATTGTACAAACTAAACATGGCTGTACTGCTCAGAGAGCTGGTGAGCTTTTTAATAACACTATTGTATTTGTTGAAAGTAAAACTTAAGATTTTAATAATTTACTGCTTTAAAATACAAAGACTGCATACCATTTTGATCAATTCAGCTGTAAAGAAGCAATATAGTAATTTTCAATGACTAATAATTTTCTTTTTTTCCCATTTAGATTATGATTTTCCTCATATTTTTAAAGAGAGACTACAGTTCTTTGAGTATGAGTCTGTAACTGTAACATGTAAGATGATAAATGGTGTTAATGCTTGGAGAGTAATGAAGGAGTTCAACAAAATCACACCAACAAATTCTTCAGATCCCTGCAGCTCACCAGCTCCTTCCTGCACACTGAAACCTGCCCTGGAAAGACACAGTGGAGAATATTGGTGTGAAAATGATGCAAGAGAAAGGAGCGGTGCAGTCAACATTTCTATTACGGGTATGTCTTAATTATTCCAGCTCTTAATTTTCTTTTAGACACTTGGGTGGTTAAAAAAAAAATATATATATATATATATATATATAA